CCTTGTAAGCAGCGAAGTTGTCTGAGAATGGGTGCAAGGTGATTTCTGAAGTGTTGGGGAGCCAAACTAATGAGTATGTCCCGCTGCAGTAAAAATATTTTCCATGTTATTTGGGACAACACTGTTCCATGTTTTAGAATTKTGAATTTTGGGGCGGTGGAGAGGGAAAGCAAAGAACTACTCACAAAACATACATTGTTCATCTAATCAGCTTATATGTTGATAACATGTAAAAGTGCATTCATGCCAAAACTAAAACTGCAGCTATGCTGATCGCTGTTGCTTGCTTTGGCCCTTGGTTTCTGATGGAGGAGCGGTAAGTTCTGTGTGGCTGTTGGGAAAGCTGCAGCAGACTTGTTGAGTGAATCCATGGCTGGAAATCCTTCGCTAAATTAATGGATCTTAAAAAACAGCCTGACCAGCCTTTCCTGGAATGACTTATTTTTCAGCTATGGAGACCACTTGAGTTTATAGTTCTGAAAAGGAAATTGGTGTGGGGGAAGGAAACACTCCTCATTTTTTGTTCTTAATATATAGAAAGATRTTTTGGATATTTGTACCTTTTTTTAACCATGTTTAATGTTCATAGCTTTTCATAATTTCAGTGATAGGAAGGAAAGAATTCAGAATGCAACCCATGTTTCATTCTCTTCCTGCTCTTGATTCGATTTGTAGGAGCTTTTCTCATTCTTGGTCTTAGGAACGAAGTAATGGAAAGGGTCTGTGTTTTCTCAGACTTGCTTTTCCTTTTTGTTCTCGCACACTTCTCAATTTCATTTATTAAAACAAACCAGATTTCCTCTGGGGTTTCACTCTTTTCACTACCAGTCTAGCACTTGCTGGTTACCTCTGAAATACATTTCGTTTGCTTTTGTAATTCTTTTTAGGTGGTCACTGTATTCAGGGCGCTTAGTGATAGTAAGCGGGATTGAGGGAGGACTGTTGATGGCTTCTACCTCTTCTGCCTTTGAGACAACAGGGTTAAACAAAATCCTGTCCTTGCAAGGACCTTGGGGCTTGCTGGTGAAAACCTTTCTGGATTTAAAAACCACTTCTCTGACGTGGCAGATGGAAGGAACCAATGAAGACATTTGTGTTTGTTGCTTGTGTGGGTGCATGTGTGTTTTTCTTCTCTTTTCTTCCCTCCTCCTCTCTCTGGAGACATTAAAATGTTGATACAAGGAAGGACATGTTAGTTGCTCTGTGCGGAGTGTGACAAAGCCTTCATTGTTGTCCTGCATGGAAGTGCCCCTGCCATTGCTGTGACCAAATCTCCCAGGCTCCTGATCACTGAAACRTGGATATTGCTTCATCTGCCCAGTTGTTTGTAATGTACCTTCAGTTTATTTCTCTTCTCAATCTTACCATCACTTACTAAAGTATATTTTCCATGCCTTGCTTTTGAAAGATGAGAGAAATGTCTTTATTTAGTACCATATATTAGGATTTTCTGCACCTTCAAACATAGCAATGGTCACTTGGCCTTAATTGTGCAGCTGGTCTCATGAAAAAAGAAAGATTTCCTTTAGTTTATGTGTTTGAGACCTGTAAGCCAATAACAAGCAGGATGAGGCCAATTTCAGCACCTGACGTGTCTTCTCCTCAGATACGCAAGGATCGTGTTGTAAGGCAGTGCAAGCGACGTTGAGAAGCAGGAAGGTGTTACTATCGAGAGGTTTTATTGTCCAACAAGTTTCTAATATGCTTTTTAGTAGTAGAAATAATTCAGCAGTTTAAGACCATAGAATCAYAGAATCCTTAAGGTTGGAAGGGACCTCCAGAGGTCATCTAGTCCAGCCCCCCTGCACACACAGGGTCACCTAGAGCATGTGGTGCAGGGCTGCATCCAAGCAAGTTTTGAAGATCTCCAGAGAAGSAGTAATTKAAGAGTAATTCTAGCAAGCAAAGCTGGATCATTTCCTTAAGTTTTCTTAAACTGCATAATCAAGCTTCAGCTCTATTGCATTCTTATTATTTTAAGTGTTTTCTTCATTTCTGGAGAAGAAAATTCCCCAGCAGGAGGACTTCAGAACGCCCTTCAAGCCCCGGTGTGGCGCTGCCCTGTTCCTGGGCCGCAGCTCAGTGCGTGRCAGGCAGCGCTTCGGGCGGGCGGTTGCCGTGACCTCTGGAGCCAGCGCGCGGTGATAGTGTCCCCTGTCATTCTGCAGCAGGGTGAGCATGTCCTTAAATGCTGCAGGCCTTTGTATGGTCCAGTTTGATGCTCATGTGGAAGCCCTTTTTCTACTTTTGACAAAAACATATGAACGTTTCAAAAGTGTAAAATGTTTGTAATGCAGAACGCTTTGGCTTTGCATTGAATGCTTTTGAGGAGACAGTAAAAATGGAGCCATGAAAGCAAAATAGGAAATCAAACTCGCTGCGAGTGCTTCATTCAAGGAGAGTGTGTAGACTCCTGTGCAGTCGGTGTGCCATAGAAACTGTGCTTAGGAAAAAGGCAAAAGGTCTGCTGAAAACACATGGCATTTATTTGCAAAGGAAGTCAGGTAGGAGTTGGGGAATGCTGAGGTGTTATGATTGGGTTTGCCTTCATACCAGCAGTGAGGTTGTCCTTTGTAAACAAGAGAGAACAATTGCTTGGCTGGTTAAAGATTGTCAGGAGGGTTTTCAGTAACCACAGATCAGATTTACAAGTCCACAGGCTGATTTTAAGGAAACTTTGAGAAGGAAAAGGCCAAAAAAAGTAACAAAAGGTTTGTAATGACTGCTGATTTTATAGGAAGAGTTAAGTACATTTTATTTTGAGGTTTAACTGACTCTTTTCCACATTATACTGTTCAGTACAAGACTTGATGTTGAATACCTAGTAGGAACTTTAATCCTTCTGAGGGGCTGGGAACTTAAGAATTTTTTTCTCAAGTTCCTAAGCAGTGAGGGTGCCAGAACCCTGGAACAGGCTGCCCAGGGAGGTTTGGGGTCTCCTTCCCTGGAGATCTTCCAAACCCACTTGGATGTAGCCCTGTGTCCCGTGCTCTAGGTGACCCTGCGTGAGCAGGGGGTTGGACTAGGTGATCTTTAAAAGTCCCTTCCAACCTCAACCATTCTGTGATTCTAAATACTTGAGAAAAGTTTACGGAGTTTAAAGTAGGTAATGGATAATGAAAGCAATCATTGTCGATGTCTGCTAAAATGCTGTTTAGAAAGAAAAAGCGTTGTTGTTGTTCTTAATACAAAATAGGAAACTTTCCTTAACTTGCTGTATCTCCGTTCCTTCCTTCCTTCCTTCCCCTCACCTCATCCAGTGGATGATGGCTCTAAAATACCATTTATAAAGGGAAAAAAGCCTGGCTGAGACTGTTATTAATACAAAGCGGGAAGCTTCCCCCGACATTCCGTGTCTCCGTGCCCTCCTGGCCACAGCCCATGCGGTGGATGGTGGCGGCTGCCCACAGCGTGAGCGGCCCCGTGTCCTGGTCCCATCCTCGTGCCGACATTCCCGCCTCTGGCGCCGCTCCGCAGCAGCCCAGCGCTCTGCGGGACCTTCCCAAACATCCTCCCCCTCCAAGTTTTCTCCAGTGTGGACAGTTACGATGTCTGTTGTGAGGAAGTGTATCTGTTCCACCTAGTAATAGTTGCTAAGCAGGACTTGACTTCGGCCTCTTGTCGGCAGAGGCTGCTTAAACGCAGGCAGCTCAACTTATATAACGAGTTTTGGGTGTTTCAGTGTTTTTACTTCTTTCATCCCCCCTCTTCGGGTGCTTTCTCTGAGGCTGAATAAAAGMCTTGTAGCGCTTTGTGTTATATCCTGTGGATACTGCTGCTCCTTTTTATTGCCCCTGTAATTGGGTTTTGTAAGGATAATACAGGAGCTGTACAGTACACCTCAAACGTGAAACAAACAGGGAGGTTGTGTGTGTTGTGACAGTTTGGGAATTGCTTTACTTGGAAGCAAAGGTGGGAAGGGGGTTAGTTTGGACTTAGTCATCAAGCCCGAGGCACTTGGGATGAGAAATTAGATTGTGGTGTGGGTTTTTCTTTTCTTTTTTCCTCTGCTTTTTAGTTAAAGTAAGGCCTTATAGTATAGTATGCCCAGCACTGGCCTGTCCTGGGTCCCTCGTGGCATCACCGGAGAGCCACTTTTGGGGCCTCAAACACCTTTTTGAGAAATAGATTCTAGTCCTAAATTGCTTTGAGCTATACCTGATGGAAGCAACTGTTTCTGAAGGGTTTATTGGGTAATTGTGGGGTTTAAACTTCAGAATTATTTTATGTTGTTTGTGTAGGTGGCCTGACAGGGGAATCATCCAATAAAGCATTTCTGCTTCTGTGGAAACGTGTTTCCTGGATACCCGAACCTGGAGCTTGAAGGGGAGGCAGGGAGGAGCGTGGGGCAGGACGGGGAGCAGGGTGTCGTGTGTTGGGGCTGGTGCCCACTGACCATGGAGCAGGACCCTGAGGAGAAGGAAGGAATCGGCCGGAGCATCGGCAGCTTCCTGGGGTCSTGTAGGAGTTGCGCCCTGTGTCCCTCTGCGGATGTGGCCGGTGCCGCTCCCTGGTGCGGGAGCGGGGACGCGCTGCTCCGAAACGCGCCGGGTGCCCTGCGGTCAGGAGGGGAGGGCGCCGCGTCAGACCACTGAATCTGGGATTTTATGAAAGCTTAACTCCTTTTGTCTCCAAAGGGTTGCTGATATTCTGWTAGTTCAAAGTACCTGACGTAAGCTGTGTGTCTCGTGGAAGCAGAGAAGCTGCCATCGCAGCGCATTGTGCCTAAACAAGTTGAAAATCCGTCTGATATGACTTATTGCGCTCAATTATTGCTGATACTCAGACTGGCTTCTCCAGCAGCAGAAACGAGAAAAGAGCAGGCACGCTTGGCGGGATCCCTTCCGCATCTCCCTTGGCGAGGTTCCTGGGGATGTTCCTGCTTGCCCTCCTTTCCCGGAGTCCGTTCCGTGCGTCCCGTGGCGGGGGCGTTGCTGAGACGCGCGGCGCAGCGCGGCGCAGTCCGGCYGGGCGGCGGGGAGGCCRGCGCCGCGCTCGCCATGGCCCAGCTGCGYGTCCTGCGCTGCCTCCTCGGCCGCGGCGGGAGCCTCCTCTGCAACCTCTACTGCGCCTGGAGCGCCCAGGTGCGTTGCTGCCGCATCCCTGCCTGTCTCCTCCTCGTCCCTGTTAGAATTTAGGCTGAACAAAAGCTCCCAGCAGCTCTGCTCCCCACCCCCAACCCTATTGAAAATGTAGTGTTAGAAATACTGCTGTTTAAGGAAAGGTTTTTTTACCTTCCTTCAGCAGCTGTGTACTAGGCTTGTTTTATCTGTATGCTTGGTTGTTGTTTAACACTTTATATTGTTCTTCTGGAGTGTTCAGCTTTGAGGATTTCTTACTTCATGGATTGCGCAAAACATTATTATATGTTGTACAGGAAGGGGGAGTTGTGTCAGGTTGAACTGTACTGCAGATGAATTTAAGGATGATTTGTTTCCCTCCTTTAATAGGGCTCAAAAGCCCTTGACTGTTTAGAAAATACCTGGTTTTCAGGAATATGTAGAAAAAATGAGAGAAGGTTAGATGTTGTATACTTAAACATTTGGGATAAAACAAACTTCCACAGGAAAGTCAGCTTTAAATATGGGCAGGTTTAAGTCTAATTGATTATTTACTGCAGAACTGAAAAAAAATGCCTAGATTTTGAAGGGAAATCTTTTTAAACAGAATCCATTTATTAAGAGCTTAAAATAATTCAGTTTTCTCAGGATGCTCCATGTTTGACCTGTGCATCTCCCATGACATTGAGCCTGTCACTGAAGAGAAATCATTTCATGCTATTACAGTGGAAGGGGAACACAGGTATTCTTATGAAATTGTAATTTTAACCTAGCAAGTAGATTCAAACAAATCAAAAATAATTGCCTGCATGTATGTCCTTTGAAACAATATGCCATTTAATATGCGAAGAAACCTGCATGTCATGGCTACTAAAACATTTCTTAATCGGGACACTACAGTGCTATGTATTGATAGACTTTTTTAAAATTATATTTTTATTTTTTCTGAGTGGTACAGAAGCTGATGCACTGCGTGTTTTTTCTGTCGCTGTCCGTGCTATTGTAGGTTAAAGAAATCTGATMCCTTGAACTGGAAAAATCAGAGAAAACTTGAAGCTTTCTCTTAGAGTCTTAATATTCACAAATACCATCTCATTAAGATGATCTGTTTTGCTTACTTATACATGTAAGAATTCACCTGGGTGGGATTTGACAGAAAATTAAAATAAAATGTGACAGTTGCTTGCCATCCTTTAGAAGTCAGGAAGAAATGAAAGGTTTGGCTCATATTATTTGAACATTCCTGTGAAGTTTTAAAAYGGGTTTGACGTGGACAGGGTGGGCATGGGACTGGTGGTCCTGCTAGCAGTAGAATGAACTGTAAGAAATGGGCAGAGTTCACATAGCCCCTGTAGAGCTGCTACCGAGAGGAGAAAGTTCATTTTACCAGATGAGCAGAATATGCAATTACTGCTTACTATTTTTTTCCTGAAAGTTCCTCCCCCCATATATTTTTATATATTTGTATGTATTTCAAAGAGTTGCTCTTTTTCTCTGAACTGAATCTGTAAGTTACTCACAGGGCATCGTACTTGACCTGGTCTCTTGCTGCTGCATTGCAATGCAGTGTGAGTTGGATGTTGCCCCCCGTGGAGGAGACTCGAGCTGCTTCATGTAGCAGTGGTGGGCTGTCCACATTCCCCCTTGCAGTGCCCTGGGATGGTGCTAGAAGTGTGGGAGCCGGGCTGTCAAAGACAACAGCTATTTTCCAAGCATCCCCTCGAAGCATAGCTCCACTGTGGATTATGGAAGTCTGGAATTTGCAGAAGTTGCACAGTTTTTCTTTTGATTTCCATCCATCTCAATCCCTAGCAAATTAACATGATAAGAAATTTAAGGATTTAAGAGCTGAGGGAGAATTGCAAGTGGATAGTTTGTRTCCGGTGTGGGACAACAGCATATAGATTTACAGACAAATATGTGGTATTCTTACCAAGACTATGTCAGCAGTACTATAGAGGATTAATCCTGTGAAATTGTGGTGGTCTTGATAAACGAAGGATCCTGTGGAAAAGAGAATATAGTCAGTAACTCAGGTACTTGGTAACACAACAGTTTAACTTGTCTTTYGTAGGATGTGGAAGGAACTGCCCTTTCTGTCCTTGTGAGGACATCTTTAATCAGCCTCCAGCATGAGGTGAGCTCTGGAGATGTTGGTGCTTCTGTTGGGCTCCTGGCTGAGGGGGAATCGATGAGAGCAAGTGCGTGTGAACCGCTGGATAGCGCGTGTTTGGGTGGTCGGAAGGTTAGATAATATAAGGTGGATGATGTGGCAGATTTTCTCTTCTAGTTGCATCTCAGATTTGTTGCTTGCAAGCCCTGTGCTAAGGAGCTGTTAGCTGAATGCAGGTCTCAGACCAGCCAAGAGCATCGTTCTGCTCTAGGGCTCTTATCGGTGTGGTGAGAGCAGAGCTGCTCACCTGCTCTTCCCATCACTTCCCAATTCTTAACTGAAAAAGCCCTGGTTACTGCCGGGATCCAACTGCATCTTATCCTGACCTCTAGCCAGTAAAGCTCTTCTAGCCACCCGAGTACTTCCCTCCTCGGTTCCTCAGCCAGGCAAGGCTGTTCTGCAGAAGAAATCTGAAAGATTAAAGGTTACATAAACTTGCCCAAACAGTTTCATCACCCAGGGTAGTCCTGACCAYGGAAGTTGATAGGTTGGGAAGAGCTTCCTGCCCAGAGCGATGTGGACGTGTGTGACCRTAAGTTAAAATGCTGTGGCTTTAGAATGACCTGAATTTTTCCTGTGAGTGCCTTCTTGCAGGGGTTTCTGTGTAAAGCAGCGTGCAGAGCGAGCTGTGGTGGTGCAAGCTCCGCTCTGGGGTTGCCTCGGAGCGCAGCGGCGCTGCAGAGCCTGCTGCACTGCAGCTGTTTGCTGCCTTTGGAGAATCTCAGCTAACATCAAAAGCCTTTTGCTCTGCCAAACGGGACACTTGGAGGATAAAATAACCAAGGTGGCTGGATTCCTTTGAGATATTTGTAGCTGATGGTGGTTTTTAAATTTGATATGCTGGGRAAATTTATTGTACTGTTATTTTTGTGTTCCTCTCCCACCTTGGAGAGAGAGAGGGTATAAAATTAAATCTTTTGTCTCGTGGCTGGGGAGGTGTGTGATGTTTTTATTAGTGAGTAAAAGGTGTAAAATCATTGCAGGAAATAGCTGGTGGCTGCATTCATTGTGGGAATTTACTTTGTTGTGGGAAAAACATTTTTTGATGTTCAAAAGTGCAGGAAAGTAATTTGGCAGCAGTTAGCAATTCAAGAAATAGTAATAGGCAAACAAACACACGTAGTTCTTAAACAAGCAAATAGGTTTTTATTGAAATGGGCTGCTTCTTCCTCCACCCATCAGTGCAAAGGTAAATTTAGTAATCTTAACTCACTGCTTTTACTGCCACGTTCAGCACATGCTTGGAGATGTGCAGCTTGCCTGTGATCCCTTCATAAGTCAGTGCTGGAAAAACTTGTGGATTTAGATCTGGACTTGGAATCCAGTGAGTAACTTTCTCCTCCCTATGTTCTTAGTGATACCTCCCTTCTGTTGGCATAAAGCATGAAGATGATTTTTGAGCTGAGGGCCTCACGTTCCTTTAGCATCTTCCTGTTCTCTGTATCTTATAATGGCCGATGGATTTGGAGGCTTTTTGGTGGGGATGCAAAAGATCATCAGGCAGTTGTCTTATGTACACAAGTCTTGTGTGGCTTGAGAAAGCGTGTCTTCTGTTGAAATCTTTTTTTAATCAGTTCAGGCTTAATATAGAGAGCTCTTCTCTTAAGTCTGTTACTGTTCAAAGTTTTTCTCATGTGACCAGATAAATATTTCACAAACAGGAGCAGAATCTGGAGCAGGAACTCCCTTGCAGTAGCCRTGTTCAGAGTGGTGGTGGAGCTGGGTGGTGGGGACAACCCTCTCATCTACCAGAGGCCTTCGGCAGCTCCCGTGCACTCGTGCAGTTCGGGCAAGTCAATGGAGTAGTTTAATTRCAGGCACAATCTTGTAGCAATGTGACACTCCTCCAGTCTGCCCCTTGCGCTGTCCCCAGGCAGGGTGCTGCCTTTATGTGTGTGAAGTGGTGCAGCTCGTCCCTAAAAGACTTGAATTTCTTGCTTGTAAACCAGAAGTAAGCCTGAGATCCACTTAGAGTGAGGTGATCGGCGGGTTCCGTAGGAGCAGAGGGGCCTGGGCCGGGATCCGGTGGGAGCCAGGAGTGTCCYGAGGCGGTGCTGCGGCAGAGCTGCTTCCTGCTCCTCAGCCGCGCTGGAGGAGCTCATGGCAGCACACGGATCCGCTGGGCTAAAGGGAGCCCCTCTGGCCAGGTCCTCTGCTGTGGCACATAACTGAGATCGTGGCACTCATGACAGGTGACAGCTTTTTGGACCAAGACGTAACCTCCAGCTGTGGTCCTGAGGAGCAGCGTGGTTTGCAGGAAATGCCTCGCTGTGAATCTGAGGCGGTGTTGGATACTGAGTGCTGGTTTTGTTGCTTTTTCCTGCAAAGCTGTTTGAATAACTGTAAATAAGCATGCTGCAGCAGAGTCTGCTGAGGATATGGTGGAACCATACGTTCCTGGCATGTTGTGTGCCCGAAGCCCAGCTTGTTCCTGAAAGCAGAGTAAAAGCTTTTGCTCTGACTCGGTGCCACCTTTGCTGGAGCTCTTGCCTGGGATGTGGCCTGTGTTTCTGGCCATTCCCTCCCTGTGTGCAGGCAGCTGAGCAGCTGTGGGAGGGATGCGCCCGGGCCCAGGCGAGTGTTGCCGGAGGCCGGCAGAGCAGCCCGGGCCCTGCTGCGCGGCGGCTCCGGGCCCTGCTGCGCGGCGGCTCCGGGCGCTCATCCTGCCACGCGCAGCGGCCTCCAGCGCGCTGGGAACGCGCCTTGCAAGCCCCTGTCTCAGACAGTTCCAGGTTAGGCCCTGAGGAAAGCACACAGCATTTCCTATTTGAGCAACCGAAGGCAGAATAAGCAGAAAAGGAAGAGCTTCCATTTAGCTAAATGAAGATCACATGATATTTTGCTGTTGTGTTACCAGGCCTGCAGATGTTTCCTTTCTTTGCAGTTCAAGGAGGATGTAGCTGTTGAGTGAAGGCTTTTGCTAATGAGGCTGTAGGAAAACCAGGAAGCTTGCAATTTCTTTTTATTTTTAATGTTTCTCTGATAAAATACAATTCTGTGCATGTTTATTACCATAAGAAGTAATTGCAATGGGTAAACAAATAAATACTGTGAAAAGAGTTTGCATCTCTGTCCTATGGAGTCCCTGTGTTTTCATTCTGCTTGTTCATGCTGCTGCTTGAAATATGCAGTTACCCTGTGGAAAAGAATAAGGCAGGGGCTGAACAGAGATGCACTTAACGGGCTGGTGAGAAGGGTTAAAGCAGTAGAGTTTGTGTGAATAAGAAACTACAAATTATTTGCACACACACACACAATTGGTATCWCTACATTCCAGATGTGATTAATCTAGAGGTAGGTAAATAGCCTCCTGATTCTTGGAAGTGGCTTTTCTGGAAAACCCTTCCTCTGACCAGGCGTGCAGCAGTGACATCATTGAGGCCATCTATTCTCAGATTGTCACATGGCCCTAAATCCTTGAACAGTCTGCTGGTTTAAAACTAGTTAATTGTGTATTGCAAAKAAGGGCCTGATTTTCAATCAAGAAAGGGGAGCCTTTGAAATGCAGACAGCCCCTGAGGCCCAGGGCAGTGACAGGACTGGTCCCAGTACCAACTTCTGGGCTTTACGAAGCAGCTTTTTCATCGACAGAGGRGCACAGCAAGGAAAGTTGAAGCTGTGTAATAAGGTGAACGTGCAAAGGCTTTTTAGTGTTTGCTGTCTGCCTTGACCCTGTTGAGGCCTGGAATGCCTGGTCTGGGAGACTTCCCCCTGCATGGAGCGGCTGTGTTGCCGCTGCAGCGGCGGCAGCTCTGAGGGGCTCCCTGCCGTCCCCTCCCAGGGCCCGGCCAGTGCCGGTGCCAGCACTGGGCTTGGCAGCAGCACCGAGCCCAGCAGGTCCGTCACTGCCTGTAGCTGCCTGCTCCACAGGCCCTGGGGCTTTGGCTTCAGGCAGCTGCAGATTTCCTGCTTCTTTCACCCGCTCGGCTTTCTTGCGCATCGTTTTCTCTGGCCTCTCTCCTTACCTGAGCTTGGCTGGAGAATAGGCCTTGGGTGTTTCGTTGGATGGGCCTGTATGGTCCTGAGATGCCATTTGAGGCTTGGGCAGAGCTGCTGTCTTCGCTGCTGGATTAGAAGGGTATCTCAGGCACGGGGTGGGATCTGGGCCCCTAAAGGAAAGGGGCAGCTGGTTTCCTGCCAGGGCTTCCACATACCTGAATTCACTTGAGTTCCCCCCTTGACCTTAAGGACAAGGAAACATCAGTGGAGCCCATCCGAGCAACAAGACCCTGCCCTGCTGCGAGGGAGATGGTGAGATGCCTTCAGGAATAGGGTATCTTGCTGTGAAACCTCTCAGCTACCGGCAGGATGGGATGCGTTGGCCAAATGTGTCAACTTGGTGTCGGTAATTGCTTCTGCTCAACTGGGAATGATTTACAGTCATCTCTGTAAGATGTCCCTTCTCATCCCAGTCAGGTTTCAAGACTAGAAATAACTCACCGTGGGCTGAGACCACGTCAGAACATGATCGTATTTTGGCATATTCGGTCCTAGCTTAGTCAGCCCCTTCATTTGCAGGGCTGGTTTCTGCAGTGCTTCTGCAGCAGCCCTGTCCTCCTTGAGCTACAGAGCTGGAGATTTTCCTCTGGGCTACTGGTGGATTTAATGGAGAGCTCCTTAAAGAGATCCCTACTGTGAATGTATGTATAAAAGGCTGTAAGAAGAAGAGGAGATTTTCTTGTCTGTAAGTTTTCTTCTCTGGATTTGTGAACTTTATGAATGTAATGAGTCTCCCTTGGGCTCCTTGATTTATGAACTTGGGGAACATTGAGCTTTTTGGCAGCAGTGACTAAAAAAAAAAAAATCAATGGCTGTTAAATCAGTAAAATGTGGTGCCACCAACCCATTTTTCCTTGGACATATCCATCTGGCAGAACTACTGTTTTGGGTATCCTGTTTCTTGGTAGACTAGCTGAAAATTGAATGTTCAAAGTGTTCTTGAAGCAGGGGCTACTTAGAGCATTGAAACAGCCAGTGCTCGGTAAGGCACTGACAGCTAAGTGCACTGCTCTGGCTTCCTTGTTTGTACTGGTTTGTTTTAAATACAATTAAATACAATATAGTTTTAGGCTCCAGAAAAGGTACAAAGGCATCCCTTACTTACAGTGACCCTTTTCTGAAGTTATCTGATAYATTTTATGTGATAAGCTTTACACAGGGTAAAGTAAATCTGGGAGTCAGTCCTATGTGGCTTTAGAAAACATGCAAAATTTGTGTGTGGGACACAAAGGGACACAGGGCTGCAAGAGAGGAGAGCAGTTTGGGTGACTCGGCCCAGCCTCAGAGGTTTGCAGGGTCRTTCAAGGATTGGTAGTGCAATGCTGCTGTGATTGTCCCTGTTAACTGAGAGTCATCTTGACTACAGAGCAGAGTTGTTCTGCTGAAGTCAACAGGGCGATCTCGAATTTTACTGTGGTTGACTGACTGTCGCTTAAGGATTTAACTGACTGCTTTTAGTGTAATGTTTCTGTATAGTCCTTGTGCCCGAATGGCTGGAAAGCTTAAAGATGACAGATTGTTTTAGAGAGAACAGAAGTGGGATGTCTTTTTTCTGTTTTTTCCCCCTCCTTTTTTGTTTTTAAAGACAGATGTTTTTAATGTTTTAGATGTGTGAGAAATTATTTATTTTTGAGATTTATACTCTAAATTTAAAAGCTGTTATTTACAGACCCCCCCGGATATTTGCAGATTTTACTTGCTTCTAGACAGTGTACTGAGCTCTGGGTGCTTCATGTGGGTCTTTAAGATGGTATCTATCTGTTCATGGATGCTTTTCTTGCTGAGAATAGGGAATTGAATACAGCAGTCGAGCAAAGTGCATCTGAGTTGCAGTGCACCTGAGCATCTGCTGCATGTCACCGAGATGACAGGTGACAGGAAAAGGTGCTGTGAGGTGGCCGGGGCATCCTGCTCCTTTGGAGGGAGTCCGTAGGGCAGTGCTTCTTGGGTCTGGTTTTAGTAGCCAGGGACTCTTCAGGCCTTGAACTTGGGTGTACATGTATAGAGCTCTTAGTGTTTTATTGGATCAGAAATTCAGACCTGTAGTAAAGAAAACCACAAAATAATTGTTACTTTAATAGACAATGTAAAATCAACATAAAGCATCCAGTACAGAAAACATGTATTTTTGATTCTCTTGAAATGAGACTGGATCTTCTCTAAAGGCAGATCACCTCTAGCAGGTGARATACTTGTGTTCATGGCTCCCTGACCACCACTTCTGTACAGCCCTCAAGTGAGACCAGGYRGGAACTCGGCCTTCCCTGCGACATTCTTGGCTTTGTTGATCCACATCATCCRTTCCTCGCTTGCTCCCTCTCATCYTCRTTTTGTTTGGCCTTTTGGAAAACTTTTCTTTATCCTTTTTAAAGCGGCTTCTGCAAAGGGTTATTTGTGGTGGGTGGGCTGTGCCTGGGCATTTGAAACAGGATGAATCCACAGATGTCAACTCCACTTACTTTATAATTCACATCCCTTCCTGTTCGTGCTGGTGGTACTGAACATCTTGCATTTATTACTAATATTGGCCTTGTCTGCGGCACTGTTAGCACAACTTTGCAGGGGGTCCAAGGACAGGCTGGAGATGACCTTTCACTGCTGCTCTTCCCTCAGGAAATAGTGACTTGACTGCAGAGTGCTCTTTTTATGAACAGTTTTGGGTTCTGCACCTCTTGCAAGTGCAAAACATTTACATGGGATTACAAGGGAACTAGAGATTCCTCAGGCTTCAGTGAAATGCTGCATCTCCCACTCTTCAGGCCTAGAGTTTTTGTCCAAATAAAGGTGGGAACTTGTGGGGTTTTATTTATGAGTGCTCCATTGTGAGCTTGCTCTTCTCCAGAATGATAGATAGTTATATTTGCTGATCRTGGGCCCTGCCTAAAATGATGAATATTCTTGTTTTGTCTTGGGTGCAACTTTTGCATCCAGTGCTACTTTAAGAGTTTATGAGAGGAAAGGGAAAAAAATRAAAGGTTACAGGTGAATGTTAGAGGGGCAGATTTCTGCTTGTCATGTAAAATATGATTTTAAATGACAGTGATTCCTCCATTCTGAGCATTAAGAGGYCAGGACATGTGGACAGTAGCCTGGGTAGGGCGCTCAGTGACTACCTCGGTAGGCTAAAGGCTGGGCAGGGTTTAACATCATCTTTGCAGTGCTTTTGCTTAGGAGTAAAGCCAGTGACTGTCTGCAGAGYGCCACAGTTCTCACAGGTTCCCTCTCATTTAGCAGCAAGATGCTCTGCCCCTTGGCGTGGATGTACCACGTTGAGATCCCACTTGTAGGGCTAAAAATAAGTTTTTTTTTCTGGGAGAAAAGCGAGCAGTTAGTGCTGCTGTATCAGCCGGCTGCTGGGCYGCAGGAGGAGAGCTGCAGAAGGAGGAGGTGTCCTTTAATTCGCTCTGAATGTCCCTTGAATAGACCGTGGGCTCTGTCAGCTGAATTTGTTTCAGGCATCGTTGGACCCAGATATTTAGAGGAGGGTCATAGGGCTTTTGCACGCTCTCTTTGTAGAGCTTCTGCCTTTGGCTTGAAATGTTGCCTGTGGCAAGGCATTCACCTTGAAATTGAAATTAGAGATTGCATTTAAGGCTTAGAAGATAAGTGTTTTATGAGTATATGTATTTCTTGAGCCGTGCATATATAAAATTACCTTYAAAAGTAGCCAAATGCAGTTGTTTTGATTTCTGCATGGGAGATGGGATTTTACTATAAACATAGAAAGAAAACAGACTTTTCTATTCATGTGCTTAGAGCTGACATACTTGAATGCTCAGAAGGAGCAGCKCTCTAGGGATGAAAACCAAAGGTGAAATAAAGGTGAAGGCAAAGGGATGACGAGAGGAAAAATACATAGGCTAGTGAAGCTTAACYAATTGTATAAGTTCTTCAGTTCTCTTTAAGTGAGAAGAGAATAGTTCACAGAACTGTATCTGCATTTTAAGTCAGGAGAAGAGGAATAGGCTGTGTATCTCTTCTATATTTCTTATCTCTGTGTCTATAAATTTAGAAAACACAATTGACGAGCTAGCCTTGTTTCTCTGAGGTTCATTTCAGCTTTTAACTACTGTATGTTAGACTCTTTAGGATGTAACTTAATTTAGGAATATTTATGTGTGTGCTATAATCAGACATATAACACTGTAGGGAGTGCTGTTTTGCAATATGCATTGATTAATAGATATTGGTAATGTTCGACTTCATAGCCCTTTGGGAAGGGGGGAGTGGGAAGAAATGCTTAGCGATGTTTTGAAAAAAAAAAAATCCAAATTGCAATTTCAAGTTTCTTTGTCTTTTTTATTTTAGGCTTCAAAAAACAGGGATGGAAAAGAGCGGAGTGAAACTGTGTCACCATCAGAGGAAGAAGAAGCTTTCTCTTGGCCTGGTCCAAAAACTGTTGTGTTGAGGAGGACATCTCAGGGTTTTGGCTTCACCTTAAGACACTTCATAGTTTATCCTCCAGAATCTGCAGTTCAGTTTTCTTTTAAAGTAAGTGAAATGCAAACTGAAGTACTACTTTAATTTTTATCATACATACTTAAAGTCAGTGTTGTTAATCTATGCATTTCTTCCTTTTTTTTTTTTGTTCAGAATTGGAAGTCTATTATAGTGTCATTCTAAGAGACGAGCTGGGGTGAGACAAACTTTTGCCAAACTTATCTATTTGAGTAGACCTAAAATAAAATATTTTAGAAATTTCTGGTTTRCAGCTGTATTTTATTCTTTCTATGAAAGGTGTGGTCATCTGTTAGAGTTCCTGTTATAGAAAGGTAAAGTCCCTGTTAGTCAAGAGACTAACAAGTCATAGTTACATGTTGCAAAAATGTAAGACAGCTTCCCTAACGTAACATCTTCTAACACTTTTTTTTTGTATTTAGTGTTTTTTATTTAAAAACAAGCATCTAAAAGTGCTAAGCAGCCGGTGGGTCTCTCTTGCTCAAAGACTGTGTGAATTCTTCTGTGCCACTGAACCTTTTGAAAGTGGCTTTAATGCCCAGTGTTGAGAACAAGTCTGTTTAATATTTATGGGAATTTGAATATTGGGAGAGAGCTTTTCTCCCTCCAGTGAGTTCCAATAGCCCTTGCTCATTTTAAAGCAATCAGCTCTGTGAAATCTCATAATATATGCCACAGCTGAGCTTCCCTTTTGCGTTTCCAGTCAGGCAGAGGAATAGTTTCATATMTATTCAGTAGATGGGTGGATGGGGAATCAAAACTTTGCACTTGTTCTAGACGGCTGATTAATTCCTGTCTCGCTGCAGGAGGCTTTAGCTCAAGTCCTCAATAAGATGCCACATGAAGCTGAGAAAGGTCTGTAGGAGAAAGTCATAGGGTTGTTTCAGTTAATCTCAGCTCTTCAGCAGATGCTTGTGTGCCTCACTCTTTTTTTTTTTTTCCCATGGTACTGAAGATAACGGGAGGTGAAAATTTCAGCGGTATCAAGTGGTCCCAACATTGCTTTATCTTTCAGCACAGGTTACAGAGAGTCAGACAAGAGCCATCCCTGCTTGCATTCCCAAAGGAGCTAGAGGAAGGAGAGGGGGGAAGCATTAGCATGACCGAACAAATTACCTACACTTTTTAGCATCTCCTGGCWGCACCTTGTACTTATTTTTTAACTTGGGTGGGTGAAAATAAGCAGTGTGAGCAGAATTCAGCTTGTTAACTAGGAAGTGAGAGTGTAAGTTCTGTCCCAAATGCATCTCCAGAGCCATTTCTGCCTGTAGAAGGAGATGTGCACAGACAAGTGAATTCAAAAAAAAAAAAAAAAGGTTATTTTTTCACCTTTTCTTATTCCCTCTTCGTAGTTGATAGTTTCTGAGAGGGAGACAGAGACTCGCAACATTTATGTAGCGTAATGACACTGATACCTGCWAATCCCAAGACACCTATTTTGTTTAAGGTCTGGGTTCCCAGTTTTCTAGCAGGAGCATCCTTAGCTCTCTCCCTTCTCTGATACGTTACCATTCAGTTTATTCGTATTAGTTTATGTCTTTTTCTGGAAAAACTCATGGGACTACTGTTTGGCTGCAATAATTGTGATAGCATTTTCAGAGAATTGATTACTTTTTAAACTGATACAGTTTCATTGGAAAGAGCCCTGGTCATCACGTTAATCACTTCCATGATTCAGCCTGAACCAACCAGAGCCACTGTATTATCTCCTCTTACTTTAGGCATATAAAGGTGAGACTTGCCAATGTATAAGTTCTCCTATGTAACGATAACGAATTCTCTTGAATGAGATTTTCCTAGTTCTCAATGTAATCTTTATTAGTTTATAAACAGTGTGGTAGTGGAAGGTTATGAAATAAAGTGTTCTGGGGTAGATCTGTTGGGGAGGACAGCCTTGCATGAAGGGTTTTATGAAACCCTGTGCGAAAAATTGTCCTGGAAACTGAGACTACAGTTATTTTCACAAAAATCCTTGGCTGTGTTGGTAGGGGGCCACACACCAAAATGAATTGGAGACTGATCCGCAATGAGAAATAATTGGTCATATGGCCCTGCTTCCTTTCCCTGAAGAAATCAGATGGGATTGTGTGGAAGATTTCTGCAGCCAGCATTGCAAAAGGAAGCCAGAATTAAATGATACTCTGAATGTCATAGATGTTTATTAGGATTCGAGAGGCAGCAACCCACATTTTTGCATGTGAAGTGCACTCTCCAAGTTAAATCGGTCTGAAATGCTGATAAGCAATAAAAGAAAACCTGCACTTTAGAGAAGGTGTAGAAGCAAYGTGTACTAATGCTCTGGATTTTGTAAGAAGTGAATGTAGGAGAGAGATTAATTCCCGAACATTTGCGTTATAAAGCATTCCATTTGTGAAGGCCTRAGCTCATTGGCTTGGTACCATGAAAAACTACTTTAATGTCTTGCAGCTGTGTTTGGTGCACCCAGTGACAAACACTTGCAGTSCCTTATAAATGGTAACAATTGTCCATTAACTAATTTCACTTTTATCTTTTCTTCTTGGTGTCATCAAAAAAGGTGTCACGTAGGTGTCACCCAGGAGCTTCCGGGATATGAGCTCTAATGTTCAACGTCCTCAGGGTGTTTTTTCACTTGTTAGTTTGGGTGAAAACTTGAGATAGCAGATGTTAATCTGGTATAATTCCTTGTTGCTGTTTTGGATGGAGATAGTTCAAAACAGACTGAAGTGGTACAGGGATTCAAGGGACRTAATGATAAATCTGAGCAGTCCATTTGTGCTAGAATGGTATTTTTACCAGGATTATTGAACTGGATGGTATGTGTTTACTGGAGGATATACTATTTACTGCTCTCTATGTTTGGGTGATAATTGTCAATCGTTTATTTAAAAAGATATTCTTGTATAATGTCTTTTTACCACTCCGTCAGACATTATGGTCTTTTAATTAGTTTAGGTGAAGTGAATGCTCAGAAATACTTCCCAGATTGTATGTACTAGTCTAAGGAGCTATATTTGGATTGAAAATCTGCTGTTCCATAATGTCACAATTGGAAGCGGGCACATTTTTTCTTTTATTTTAACCATTGAAATTTCTAAATGATGATGAAGACCTTAGCCATGATCTTTCAGCAGCTCCTTATTCATATTTTAATACTGACAAGAAAGTATCCATGAAATAAATAATCGCTTTCTATTTTAAGGACACCTTTCTCCCTCAGTACATTCTATTTATGTCTTTTTTTCTCTCCTGAAAGGGCTGTTAGGGATACAGGGTAGTTAGAATTGAATATGGTGCAATGAGCAGAAGGAAGATCTTCATCAAAGTCATTGCCAAAAAAAAAAAGTACTTTGAGCAGGATTTTTTCTCCACACAGAAGTACTGGAAGGCGAAGGAAACTTGATGTTTCTGTTTTCAGGAAGATTATTCTGAGTTTAGTTACAAAATATTCTTCATCTCTTAGAAAAGTGTTTAATTTTGAATCCTTAAATGATAAAAGTATAAATCTTCATTCCTGGCTTTCAGAATTGAAACATATTTGTCACGCGCTGCGGTTTTACACTTCCTGGCAGTATTGTGTGTTTTTTGTTTTGCTTCCAAATAATACCTTGCAGGTTGGTTGTGTGGGAATGTTTCATGGAACTGTGTTTATTCCTTTGCCAATAGACCTGATGCTACAATTTTTGGAGTGAAAGCCTGATAAACAAGTATTCAACATTACATTAAGGGGGTGAAACACAAGCATGCCTACAAATTCACAAGAAAAACTCACGCCTTTTCATTTAGTGTTTTTTTAATGTGCACTATTTTTTTCCTTAGGATGAAGAGAATGGCAATAGAGGAGGTATGTTTTGTGTTTTCTTTCGTATGTCTAATATGTTTATCATTTATCTTCTGCTATGTAATACTCTTAAATGGTTACTGAAGTGTATGAAATGTTAAAATGACTAAATATGACCATCCAGCTCCTTTGAGTTTCATGACATTGAAGCAAAAGAAAGAAGATGTCTGTGTATCAGGCTCACCTGTTCTGTATATGAGTTTGCAGGATTTTTAAGCTTACTAACAAGCATGTAAGTATCACTTCCATGCCCCGTGTAGCACTTTGTCATGTCTATGGTAAGAAAACWGTGTTACCATTTTAGTGCTAGAATTTCATGTTCTTAATTTCTTCGAAATTGAAGCCCTATAGTTCATCTGCATGGAGTTTAAGCCTGATAGATGATATTTGTATATGTATATTTTAAAAGGCACTGGATGGTGCGCTTAGAAGCAACCAGTGTGAATTTTTATTTCTATTGCAACTTGTTCTAGTAAAAGCAATACATAGCTATAAAAATACCTAGTGTTCATACTAATGTTAAATAACTAAATAAAATCCATCCTCTGTGACATACAACTGCTTAAAAAGGAATCTTAGCCTGATTAGCCTAGTTCTACTTTCCTCAATATTTTAATGGTACTTAATTCATCAGCCTCAGTACTTTATTACTCTTGTACATATTAGAGATCCATAAAATGTGTTTCAGAGATGTCAAGTAAGATGTATGAATACCTTGCATTTACATGAATACCTGTACCTTGCGTTTGATTTAGGAGGGATGGAACAAAATCAAGGCTGTGGTTATGTCTGCTAGTTTACTTCCCTTTTCATAATTTTGTCCCTTGCACGTTGCTTTTGTCTGCTCTTTCTTTAATTGGCTAATTAGCTTAACTTCTAAAATTGGAGACATATTTCAGTCCTGCTTAGTTGAAATTCTTCGTTGGTGTCCAGTCGTTATCTCTCCTGTGCACCCGTTTTTCTCTGATAGCCCTTTGGTCCCTTAGAGGGTGATAAATGCATTGATTTAGGTGAGGAAGTTAGGTTGCCAGATAGAAAGCCTGGTCCTGCTTGCTGTTTTCCTATCCTGTGATAATTGTAAGATACACAAGATTGCATTCCAGGTAAGTAAACGTGAGGTGTTCCCACCTGTACTTTTCCAGGGAAACTCTTAAGATAAGAGACCTCTTTGGACATGGACACCTTTGTCCAGAAACCGCATGGAGGGAGTGCTGATTTTAGTAGCGCATTAGAATCTGCTTTATGTTGTGGCATGAAATTGTACCTGAAATTTCAAAATACTTTWAAAAAAAACTCAGTTTGAAGGCAGAAAACCCCTGAGAAGTCAGTTTGAGGCAGTTTGTGTAACCCCAATGTATTTGAAGCATTCTGAGGAATAGCATTTAAGTGAATTTCCTTATTTGTCTTTTGGTGAAGTGRAGGAATTCCTGCATCTCCTTTTCCTGGTCTTGCTCTGTAGTTTTCACTTGTAAAGAGAGTGAAAAGTCAGTCCCATCACACACCGCAACCCCCTCCTTTCCCTCTGCCCACCCCCAGATTTGCCACCTTGTTTTTCTCTCTTGACTGGCAGAGAAGGTAGGTTGGTTTAAGACAGGAGGGGAGTCACCCCTGTGCAAAAGGAGCATGGAAAATAACTTGTTTTTACCCTAAAATGCATACTTGTTGTAAAAAAAGTCTAAACAACTACAGATGCAGATGCAGGTCTGCAAGGTGCTTGGGTTTGCCCAAGGTGCTTGTCTGAAGTGTATTTTTCAATAGAGGAACAGCAGTGGAACAAACATCTCTTTGGCTCAGTGTGAGAGYTGTGCAGCAGGGAGCAAGATTCTTTTCTTGAAATTTTTGTTAGCTATTTAAACTGTGAATCACAGCTCGTATTTCTAGCGTAGTATGATGTTGTGTCTTTTGAAATACAGATTGGAGGGCACAGAACATGCCTTACAAGCAACAATATTCTGGTCAGCAGGACAGAGTTGGGTTTGTGCTCTCTTTGGAAAGAGAAGAAACAACTTTTCCACTATGCCTAGGTGAAAGGCCTAGGTATAAGAAAGAAATTTAGTCAGATTGGGGTTTGTCTTAAAAAGATAGCAAAATGGAACAAAAGTGTAAGATTTTTTTTCAGCATTAAGCGAGATCTTGGAGGGGGAGAATGTAAATTAAGCTGTTTCTATCTACACTCCTTGAAGTTGTTCTCAAATGAGGGGAATAGTCAGTTTGTGAGGAGAAAATCAAGAAAAATATTTATCACATTTTTCATATTCACAAACAACATATTTATTTAAAAGAAAGTGTTACAAAAGTTCTGTGACAGATTAGTACGAGGTTTCTTAAAAGTAATTAACCTGGGGAAATTAGGCAGAGTCCCTTGTGAGATGCAAAAGCCTCTTCGTCTGACCCTAGCAGTGCGAGGCCTGTGCAGCTGCCCTGGTTGTCTCCACAGCTTGAGGGAGAGCGTGTTACCAGGAAAGTCATCCCAAGGAGCCATCTAGTGGCAAACGGGACGTTTTTCTTCAAACAGAGTTGGAAAACTCTTCCAGTGTGAGACTGTGTGGAAAACTGTTGTGTCGTGAGGCCGTGTCAGTGTGGTTTGATTGTTAACTCCTTCTTTCAAAGGCTACAGGCAATAATTCACTTGYCCTTTCCCCTAGCAAGGGCTCAACTGAAGGGATTTGAGCTTTTCATGTTGATGAAGCAGCGTGTGCCAGCGCAAAACTGGCAGCTTTCTTGGTATCATTTTTGAGTGAAGATCTTCTACCTACTTACACTTTCATAATTGCCTTTTCACAAATCTGTCTTTAGAAATTGAGGGGTTTTGTCAGGTTTGGCATTTTTAAATTTGAGCAGGTTAGTGTAGGAGAAGACACCATCTCTTTTACTGTTGCCTTTTATTCAGGGCACTTAAAAATCACTTCTAAAGGACCTGAAAACCTAATCAAGTCTAGAGAGCGTGAGGTAAAAGCAGGTTCCAGGTTTTATGTATTCTAACAGTGAATGAAATATCTTTATCTAATTTTATATTCCAGGATAGACTTTTAGTGCTRCTTTTTCACTATACATTTAGATCATATCCTTCAATCTTGTCTTCATTAGGCAGTAAATTTCCAATTACCACAGAATAAAAGATAATACAAGTCCTGGAGAGCAGGAGAGATTTATATCAGGAATAATGGTGGAGGGGGAGATGATGACCAACAAACAAGTGAGACAGAAGGTGGGTCAGGTTGGCAGGCGAAGGGTTCAAGGTAGTGTGTAAGATCCTCCTGAAGATGTCCTGGAAAGATGAGAGATCAAGGAGACCTGCTTTAGCTTTCAAGAATTACCTCCTCTAGACTCATGAACAACCCATCCCAATGAGCAGAAACTCCAGCGAAGGTGGCAGGGACCTGCATGGATGATCAGGGAGCAGCTGACCAAATTCCACTGGCAAAAGGAGCAGACAGAGGACAGAGGAAGGGCGGATGACCTGGCAGGAATTCAGAGATGCTGCCTGAGTGTGTGCGACTGCACCGGCCCTGCGTCCCAGCAGCCTGCAGCCAAAGGACATGAAGCTGCTGGAGGGCAGTCAGTGTGGATTCACGAGGGGAAATCGTGGCTGCTCAGCCCCCTCGCTTCCTGGAAGGGGGTGACTGGCTTGGTAGATGAGGGTGAGCAGTGGATGTTGCTGGCCTTGACTTCAGGAAGGCTTTCGGTGGTGTCTCTCATAGCATCCTCTCTTGATCTACTGACGCAGCAGGGGATAGACAAGTGGGCAGTGAGGAGCTTGAGAAGCATCTGCCCTGCCAGGCTTAGAGGTTGTGACCACTGGCATTTAGTCCAGCTGGAGGCCGGTCACCAGTGGGGTACCCGGTCACCAGTGGGGTACCCTGGGGGTCAGTGCTGAGGCCGTAGCTGTTCAGCATCTTCATTAATGGCTGGGATGATGGGACAAGGTGTAGGTAGTGATGGGCACAGCCAGCTTCCTTAGGACAATTTCATTGTGTTTTGGACATGATGGATATATTGCCTTTTGTGAGGACGCTTTGAAACTCTGGTTGTTAAAATACAAGTGTAGTGTGCGGAGTCATTTGGTCATTTCTTTCATGTTACTTTGAAATAGTGTTTCCTTCAGAAATCTTTGGCTTGTGCATCATGATGAAATCAACAATAATGTGCAGTAATGGTTTTTGATAAGGAATTTCATCTTTCATATGAGGACTAATCAATGTAATGTTTGATACATAAATCAAAATCTGGAAAACTAGTACCGTTAGGGTGTAGTGTCATATTTTTTAATATGATGTTCTTGCTTTTCTGACTTCATTTCCTATTTCAGTGTAGATAGATCTACTGCATCTAGCAGGTTCTTATCTTGCCATACAAATGAAAACTGAATTGAATTTACTGATGAGTCTTCTTGTCTATAGAGACTGTTATTAGTACAGGCTTCCTATTAAGAGTTCCAAGCATTTTCAGAGATCTCTAGATTTTTAAATCCTGCTCACCAAACTTTTTTTTAAATGTCCAACTTAAAAATTTTTAATCTCTAATCTAAGCTGAAAATTCAGATCTGTTACATGAATTGCTTCAGCTCTGTGCAAGTCTGTCTTGTTGTGGTAGAGCATTGAAAAAAATGCAGAAGAGCCATTCTTTACCGCTGTTTATATATCCTTCGTGTGGTATCGCTACTCTATTTTGCAAATACAGACTGATTTGTGTAATGCAGTTTGTGTTCTCCTGGGATTTAGTTTAATTCTGTGTTTTCTAACATCTTTATCTATCAAAACTCCTTCTATTATGAAGTAAATTGCTGGTGCCTGTGAAGATGGGAGCAAGGTAGATAAGGGACAAGGGGATGATTATGGAAACATTTGGAAAGGTTACAGGTTGCTGAGACGATGTATTCTGAGACACATGATAGTRGCATAAAAGACTAGGGGAAAAAAAGAGATAGTTAACAGCAGTGCTTTAGATTAGGGCCACAGAAATTTGTCCTTTTTTGTGAGTTAATCCAACTTTCTCATTATTCA